CCTATGAATATTGTTAGTTTCAGGTCAAAAATACAAATGCACATTTTATATGCTAAATATTGAAAATTTTGCTTGTGACTCTTAGTATCACTTACTACCTCCCTCTCATTTTCTTCCCAAATGGATATTCATTAAAGTTTTATTTTAATGCATTTCCATTTTCTTTACCTTACACAAGGGTATTTAAAAGATATAATTTTTATCAAAAAAACAATAATATTTTTTTATCAAATTAAACACAAACTAGTTCAACAATGCATTTTTGGGTTTCAAAGTAAATATTTATATCTGTGACGGCAACAAGTTTGTATAATTACAACTATATTTTCCCATCTTTTTTGCCAGTAAGTGTATTTTCTGATGTTACCTGGAATCTATCGTCAAACCTTTTCGTTTACGCTCTCAGCAAGAACCTTGCATGAAATTAGCACTGAATTTATGATGAAGTGCTGTACACAAAATTGCATTCAGTAATTTACTACATATGGAATTTTCAAGTATTACAATATACAAATAAAATGTATGATACCTCCAACAAGTAAGTAACACTGAGTTAAGGCCTTTCCGTATTCATTGCTAGCAAAACATTGATACGTGCCTTGTTGAGCCTTCATAACATTCTCAGTTTTCATTTCACACGTCTCACCACGTCGACACTCAGTCCACAAAGAATTTGTAGTCGTACGCAACAGACTTGTTTGTTGCGCATCATTAATAAAAATCCACTGAAATTTATTATATTTATGCATTTACTGACTCTTTGCAAGATGTAAAAGAACTTTATTTGAACAAAATACTTCTTTAAAATCTCTTGCAAATTTTATGCTATTCTAAATTCCACATAAAGTTCAAAATTTGCTATTTCATTGTAGAACTTGAATAAGTCTGAAATTAGCTCATTAATCCTGTAATTACAGCTACAGTAAAATTTAATTTCGGCTTCTATAAAATAGAAAGCTTTTTTCATCTTCAAGATGATTTACATACACTAATTTTTTTATGCCGTCACCAATTTTCTATGCTTTTAAGGGTTTGTGCACTTCTTGTAGTCCCTTTGAAAAGGATTTATACTGAGAAGATAGAGAAAGAATCAGGTTTATTAATGAATTAAACTTGCAGGAAATTACTTTAAGCTCAGGTTCAGGAATACCCTTCACCACACATTTGAGAGTTACCGGATGTCCTATTGCAACACCGGTGTCCACCAAATCCACTACGAAATTCGGTGCTTCTTTGTCTGGTTGTTTATGCAAAAGTGCTAAAATTTCGCAAATAATTTTACATATAAGAAAAAACAGTAAAGAATGTCGTCAGTTGTATGCCAATTGCAATCACAAATTAAAATTATATCCAAACTCAGATTCGAGCGGAACTCAAATCACGCTTCTACAATTACAGATAAAATTCAGTGAAATTCTGGTAGAAAATAGAGATATAATCAAAATAAATTGAAAATTACTAAATTTTTTCATTCTATGTGCGTTTACTTTTACGTCTAAAAAATTAAAGGCA